GAGCTGGGGGGAGGGAGGGGCAGAGGGGGTGCGGGAACAGCGGGACCGGGGGAGGGGTGCTTTTTTAGAGGGGCAGCAATGTATCAAGTACTCACAGGGGGATACGGGGCGCAAACTTATGCAGGAGGCGGAAGGGACGCGACACCGCGGCCACAAATACGACTGGCGCGCCGTAGAGCCGTCCGTGGCAACGAGAAGGGGCCGGACAGGGGTCCCCCATGCTTCCTCACACCCTGCCGCCCTCACAGCCGTTTCGCGCACCTGCCCCACCGCCGCCGCCCGCAAAGGCCGCCGCTGCCCCTGCCGCGGGCCCCGGCCCCGGCCCAGGCGGGGGCTCGTCCTCTAATATCTCGTAGCCGCCTTTTCCATACTCCTTAGTATCCGCCTTAATGTAACCCCAGTCGACCGCGCCGCCCCGCACCGCCCCCGCATCCGCCCCGATCGCGCCTCCGCGGCCGCCGCCGCCGCCGCCGCTGGCGTCGCGCCGGGGGCGGTAGCGGGTGCCGCCTGGATCGAGGTCGGTGCCGTCCGCCTGGTTGACTAGTTTGATCGAGCAGCCGATGCGGGGGCCGCGGCCCGAGTCGTCGTCGGTCACCTCGACCACCTGGTGACGCCGTTTCGGGGTGACACGTTCAGTCGCAGCCGCCGTCGCCGATGGGATTGAACCAGCCGCAGTGGCGCCAACGACCATGTGCAACGCCCTTTTGCTGGCGCGGTGCTGAAGCGTCGCGCTGCCAACCCGCCCGCTCAGTCCGCAGCGTTCCCTTTCCCCGGCACCCGCCCCCGCCCGCTGGCTCAGCAGAGCGTCTCCCGGGCGCCCCCTCACCTTGACCCACACTGGCTCCCCGACAGCCACCACCTCCGCCAGGGCCTTCTTCTTGGCCTCGTCCCCCTCCTCTGTACTCAGATCCAGGTAGCCCGACACCTGGAGGGATGCGGTGGTGTGAGTGAGTGAGTGAGTGAGAGACTGAGTGAGTGAGTGAGTGAGTGTGTGTGTGCGTGCGTCGCTGCGTGCGTGTGTGTGCGTGGTTGTGTGAGTGTGTGAAACTATTTTTGTGTGTGTTGTGTCATGTGTGCGTGCGTGTGTTTGTGTGTGTGTGTGTGTGTGTGTGTGTTTGTGTGCGTGTGTGTGTGTGTATGCGTGCGTGCGTGCGTGTGTGTGTGTGTG